CCAACATAAACGCATCGAAGAAGGATACTTTTGAATAGCTCTTATCACCGCTATTATCGACGCTCTCATAGCTCTTGTCACAGCTCCAACATAAACACGACCCTAGGCCCTGTGAAATAGGGATGTCAATTTTTTTTAAAACACCGGTTTTTTCATTAACCGGTTAATTTACTAACAGTTATAACTGCCCGGTTATAACTGATATAAAATATCGGTTATTCCGGTTAACTGGTTGCTCGGTTATTTTGCCGAATAATATTAGAATAATTGCATAATTTATATTATAATGTAGGTAACATAACTTAAACAACAACATATCTTAATGGTAAAAAAAATCGGAAACTGTTACATGTTAAAAAGCATCAGAGAATACTTAAACTTTCCTAAACTGGTTATTTCTCTTGTTTCATTTTTAACATGTACTGTTGCGGCCATTGGAATTGGCACAAATTTTCGAACGCACCTTGTATTGCATCAAAATTATTTGACTTTTTTTAACAGGCCGTTAATGCCCAAATTGTGTCAGTTTTAGCCTTATCTTATATTTGGCGTTCAAAAATTAGTGCCAGTTCCAATGGCTACAACTATGTATTTTTTTTGTACCTACATGTACAGGGTGTCCGAATTTGAATGGTTTTAATAGGAAACGTCAATTTCTGAGCGAGATACAAAAAAATGAACCCCCCACTCTGAGGCCAGAGTTTCTTGAAATTTTGATTGGTGCAAACCGCATTTTGATATCTTCAACCGTTTAGCCGCTAGAGGGCGATTCTCGATTTTGAGCAATACTGTGAAATCTTCATAACTTTTTTGTTTATGAAAATAACTGATTTCCGTAAAAACTTCCTAGAAGCACTTTTTCGAGCAGAATTCAGTGACGTTTTCAGTTTTTTTATATTCGGCCTCAATTTCAAGATATTGACCAAAATACGATTTTTTTCAATGGGACACCCTATATATTAATAGTTCATTAGAAAGCTCTGCTTTTGCTGATTTCAATGATACAAATTTCGATAAGTTTATCTCTAACAGTTTTCGAGAAAATAGTTATTTTCCTAACAAGTGCGCAAAGTGATACTTTCCCGCACGAAAAAGCAGTTAGACGAACGACGCGAAGCGGAGTTCGGATAAGCTTTGAGTGCGGGAAAGACACTTTTCGCAAGTGTTAGGAACAATATTTTTTCTACGAGTATCTTAAAAAAGTAGACTTTGAATTGTTAAAATATTAGAGAAATCAATCAAATCAAAATCTTCAAAAATCGTTTAAAATCTATTGGAATTCCTCAGAATGTCTTTTAAATTAAATCCCCAAATATCTTTTTACCATCTTCTGGAATTTCTAGAATCGCCAGAATATTTTCATGAGAGTCTCTTAATATAAATATCAAAAATTTTACAAATTCCTAGCAGTACAGGCTGGTCCAATTTGGACACCTTTGATAGGAAACATCATGTTAACTAAGCGTTAATTTCAACTAAAACCCTTAATTTTGAATATAAGTTTATTCAGAAACCATCAAAACATTGAAAAATCAAGTATAACTATGGTAATTATGCGTAACAAAAATGAGTGCGCAAAGAGTTTCCGTGCGCAAAGTTTAACTTTGCGCAAGCAAATGAGTGTGCAAAGTGATTACTTTGCGCACGCAAGTAGAAAATAATTTTTTTTTCTCGAAAACTATTAGAGATAAACCTATCGAATTTTTATCATTGAAATCAGAAAAAGCCTAGCTTTCTAATGAGCTATTAATATAGGACTTTAACTGGAACTAATTCGCTAGAGCCTTTGGATAAAATATGTGTACAAAACGCAAAAACAGGTCGATCAAGATTTTTTGCTTGAGTTTTTTTCACATTAATTTTTTTATACAGGGTGTTCCAAGAACAGCTGTACGGTTGTCAACTTTATTTTTCCAAATGGTAGCCCCTATATATTATGACATTTCTGGATTCTGCAGAAAATTCTAGACATATTTCATTTACAATGTCATATACCTATCTTCAACTGTTTCGGAAATATTGACAGTTGAAAATTGACTTTTTTGCAACTTTGACAGGCTGTAAAACCTTAACGGTCAATTTTAGAGGAAAACCGATTTCACATTCCTATCTTAGATTTTCATAAGCTTTCATTTGACACCAACTTTGAATTTAATCCATGATTAAAAATTCCAGTTAAATTCAATCTCCAGTTAAATTCAAAGTAAGTGTCAAATGATAGTTTATGAAAATCTAAGACAGGAATGTAAAACCGGCTTTCCTCTAAAATTAAACTTTTAGGTTTTACAGCCTGTCAAAGTTGCAAAAAAGTCAATTTTCAACTGTCAATATTTCCGAAACAGTTGAAGATAGGTATATGACATTGTACATGAAATATGTCTAGAATTTTCCGCAGAATCCAGAAATGTCATAATATACAGGGGCTAACATTTGGAAAAATAAAGTTAACAACCGTACAGCTGTTCTTGGAACACCCTGTATGAAAAAATTAATGTGAAAAAAACTCAAGCAAAAAATCTTGATTGACGTGTTTTTGCGTTTTGTCCACATATTTTATCCGAAGGTTCTAGCGAATTAGTTCCAGTTAAAGTCCCCACCCTGTATGGAGTGTCCTATTGAAAAAAAACAGATTTTGGTCAATATCTCGGAGTTGGGACCAACTAGAAAAAAACTGAGAACGTCACTGAATTCTGCTTTAAAAAGTGCTTCCAGAAAGTTTTTACGGAAATCAATAATTTTCATAAACAAAAAAGTTATGATGGTTTCACATTATTGCGCAAAATCGAGAATCGCCCTCTAGCGGCTAAACGGTTGAAGATATCAAAATGCGGTTTGCACCAATCAAAATTTCAAGAGATATGAGCCTCGGAGTGGGGGTTCATTTTTATGTATTTTGCTCAGAAATTGATGTTTCCTATTAAAACCATCCAAATTCGGACACCCTGTACATGTCTTTTTTCAATACCGTTCATTAGAGAAAGATGGAAATCAACCAGCTGCTGAACGGATTAACCGAAACTGAAATACTAGAGATAGGCACGGGCACGGGCACTATCGGTTAAAAAGACTGTTGTCGCTTATTCAATATATTTTAAAGTTATGGAAACAAGAGAAAAGTCTACGTGTTCATTTTTTCACTTTCACCGGTTATTAGGTATAAAACCCGGTTATTCGGTTATAACTGGAGGCAAAAAACAACTGGTATTTGGTATTAACCGGTTAACCGAAGAGAAAACACCGGTTTTTCGGTTTTAACTACCGGTTATTGACATCCCTACTGTGAAACACGCAGGTGTTTGTTGGAGCGGCGAGTAGAGCAGCGCTTTTTTGTGGACAAGAGCGATAAGAGCAGCGAGAAGCAATTTTGTATATTTCTTTGCTTTTATCGACTCTGAATGGACGAGTTTTTATCAAGGTTTATGATGTTATTATTTTGCCTCGGTGAACGAGGGAGAAGAGGGAGTGTCTTTACAATAGTATATAATGCAACGATCATGTAATGATAGCCATGAATACACGAGCATGTTGTAGGATATGAAACGAGCCGCATGCGAGTTTTGTATATAACATGCTCGTGTATTAATGGCCATTACATGATCGTTGCATACACTTTTTTGATAATAGTAAAAATTCTTCATCAGAATCGCTCATTTTTTTAAGGCAACACTTCGCTCAACTGCTTTAACTTGACTAGTATCGCAGCTCCAACATAAACGCATCGAAAAAGGATACTTTTGAATGGGTACATTGTACATTCAGGCGGTCCCAGCGGCTAAACTCAGCAACTTAGCAGGGACTTTATTCTCGAAACCAAGGAACAGCGTTCTCATAAGAACGATTGCTCTGTCATTGTCAGTGTTATGCCGGACGACAAAGACAGAACCTTCGTTCCAATTAGAACGCTACTTCCCTGTTTCGAGAATAAAGTTCCTGCTGAGTGGCTGAGCTTAGCCGCTGGAACCGCCAGAATGTACCCAATAGCTCTTATCGCCGCTATTAGGCCTTTTCGGAAACACTGATCCGATTATAACCGGATCACCAGCTGATATCCTTTGTCTTTTTTCAATCGTATTTATTAAAGAAAGATAAAAGACAACCAGCTGATAATCGGGTTAATCGGATCAGTATTTCCGAAAAGGCCTAATAGCGGCGATAAGAGCTATCCAAAAGTACAGTGACTCTATTACCTACAGTGGCGACAATTGCTGTCTTATTTTTGATTGGTTCTAAAATCCCATATATTTATATTGAAAACGCCGCCATCTTGTTCCCACCTATTGCTTATTTCAAATATGAATATATAGAATTTAGGTGAACATCCATCATAAAACATGGAAAACAACGTATTTGATGGACCTAATAATAGTCATCAAAATACGTCGATTTCAATTTTTTATAATAGATGTCCATTTAAATCCTATATAATTGATATTTAAAAGTAACAAGAGGTTGGGAACAAAATGGCGGCGTGACCTCTATTGTCGCCACTGTACGTAAAGATTTATTTAGCCACTGTATCCAAAAGTATCCTTTTTCGATGCGTTTATGTTGGAGCTGCGATACTAGTAAAGTAATAGTATATTATGCAATGATAATGATCATGTAATGATAGCCATTAATACACGAGCATGTTAAATTGTAAGATACGAAACGAGCCGCAGGCGAGTTTCGTATATAACATGCGAGTGTATTAATGGCCATTACATGAGAGTTGCATACACTATTTTTTCTACTTCCATTAATAAACGAAATACATACCTATTTATTATCGACCCTCCCATAGCTTTTATCACAGCTCCAACATAAACATGGCCTAAGAACGAATGTTCTGTCTTGGTCGTGTTTATGTTGGAGCTGTGATACACGATAAAAGCAACGATACTAATGATACTCGGATGAAAGTGATATCGTGTATCACAGCTCCAACATAAACACGACCTAAGACAGAACCTTCGTTCTCATGAGAACGCTGCTTCCCTGCTTCGAGAATAAGGGCCCCTCCTCCTGTTCTGGTTCTTACGAGAACACGAGACACGACTCACGTTATCGAACGCATCGCATTTTTGATCAAGACCAGCTGATTACTGACTCAGTTTTGTTGATGTTTTGGTGTAGTTTTGTCCATTGCGGTTTTGGTTTTGCCATTTGTGCCTCTAAAGAAAGTGTTTGGCGGCGTTGTCGTTTTGGTTGGTGTTTTCTGAGTAAACACTAATTTTTTTCTGAAAAATGTTAGCACTAGACTAAACACACCAAACTACTCCTCAAATATGTCTCTCATACAAGCAAACCTTTCAATTTATCAAAACAACCTAAACATCCCACAGGACCTTAAAGTCCAACCTCTAGCGCTGGTGGGCTATTCTGGATTGGACATCGTCAACAATGCTGTTCACAAGTCCATTTGGGAAACTTTCAATAACAGAACTGAAAAAGCACCAATCCTATACAAAATTATCAGCAACACTCACAAATTTCCAGTCATCAAACCAAAACGGAACTCTTATGATTGGTACATCCCAAAGGGGATATTGAAAAGGAACTGGCTCAATAAATATTTACAGGAAGTGCCAGCGATTGTTGTTATATTTTACGATTTGGATTGGAAGGACAGTTTGTGGAATGAAAAAATGATAGAATGTGCTTCAAAGGTCCAATCAATGAGGTAGGAACTATTCTTTTCATTCTCAATAACTTGTCTTTCAATTTAAAAATGTATTTACATATTTGCTGTTTTTTTAGAGCTGCAATGGAAGGAAGAGATACTCGTATTCTAGTTGTTCTCATACAAAATCAGTTGCCAATACCAGAAGACCCTCTTGCAGCTGAAAGGGCCATTGCGCTTTGTTCGAGCTGTGAATTGAATTCACAGTCTTTGTATGTTTTGCCACATGGTCAACATCTATTGGTAAGCATACATTTTTTACTTGCCTGCAAATCACCAACAAACAGTTTTCTGACTATTTTCAACCCATGATATTTCCTTTGACTCTCTGACTGGTTTGTGATTGCTTTGGTGAGAACAGCTATACACCTATAATAGGAATTTTGTCTAATAGGCTCGTTCAGCATATTTTATTACATATTCTAAAAGAGGGTGTTGAGTTTAACAGTTGTGCAAAATTTCATAATTTTCCGAGCCCTTTTAAAATAAATTTTTTATTAACGGAAATTAGGGTTGCCACCTTTTGATTTCCGAAAACCCGTACATAATCGAAGCTAACTTTTTTTTTGTAGCATAATTTACACTCATATCTGTAGAATGAATTTTTAGAAAAAAATTAAAAAAGGTATCTTCTCAATTTCAAACGCCACCCCTCGTAGTTACGGTCTATTTTAAAATTAAAAAAAAAAAACAGAGACACTTGTAAGTGAACAGGGAGAACGACACAATACATACATAATTATTTATTTTATTAGGCAGAAAAGCACGATATTTAATGCCGCGACTAGTTTTTCATAGCCGAAAGCGAGGCGAGGAAACCAACCAAGGCATTAAATCTGATCTATTGCCGTGTGAAACATATAGGTAGTACATTTCATTTTTTCTCCGAATTTGTTACACTTTCACCGAGACACCGAGCATAATCTACTTTTTTATGTTTATCAATTGCGCTGATAACGTTTGTTGAATGGGAAGCAACGAACATTTCTGCCTAGGCAGAAAAAGTCCATTTTTCTGTCGCTAACTGGAAACCGGAGACGTTTGTGATACGCCCGTTATTCAAGAAGTAGGAACGTTCAGAAATTAGTTAGGTATATCTTAAGGCGTTCGGCAGTCGTTTTTATAAATTTTATATTAAGTATTAATTATTATTAATTATATAGTTATCCAGATATTCCCGGACATTTTCATCATGCGTCCGGACACCGGACAAACCTTTGAAAACCCGGACAGTCCGGGTGAAAACCGGACAGGTGGCAACCCTAACGGAAATCCATTTTCTACAAATTCAACAATTATAAATAAATATTATAAACAAACAAATATTCTACTCTAGTAAATCGGATTCTACCTAGAAGATTCGTGCAGTCAATGAAAGAATGAACCAATTTATACAACAAAGAATAGGTATCAAAATAAATTCTCCGTTTTTCCAAGCTCAACATGTTTAAATGTGACATCGAGACAGCATAATCTAATTTATTGATAGGTATTCCAAGTTTAAAGCTAATAGAGAGTTATTGGAGATTTCAAAATAAAGCTAGCAGTAATAAGGCAACTACCTTATTTAAATAGCGCTTTACCTAAACACGGCTGGAAAAAACAGTTATTGTTCACGATCACGAACACGTCAAGATACGGCTGATCCTTAATTCTATTTCTAACCTTACTCAAAGAATATTATAGACTAACGTCTCTAGAAGACCCGTCCGCCGGCGAAAATATAAACCCGCGTGGTGGCGCTGGTGTCCTTGTAAAATCAGTGTTGCCAACTGATGGGATGTGAAAATACCTAGATTCGAAAAAAAAAAATATCCCTAGAATTCCCTAGAATTTATTTTTTCAAATTCATTTTAGAATTAATATTACAGCCTAATAATAATTGTAAAATGTATTGTGAAAATCATATTTTCAAAACTAATCGCACCTCACACAAAATTTCCAAAAGCAATAATGGCCGTTTGCACCAACTATTTTAGGGGAGCCTTAACGATACGATAAGTATTCCCTAAACTGACTTATCATTGGTGGTAACGGCCATAAAACATTGTTATGATGTCACTGGTAGCGATAGTGACGACAGACTGTCTCCTGATTTGGACTCGACGCGGTTGTTGCACGTCACACAAAAGGCAAAGAGCACTTTACAACATACAAAAATGATACTGTTGTACACTTGGCCAAACATAAAACTGGTACAGGCAATAGGTATTTATTTTTTAAATTTTCCTAGTGTGAGCCAGACTTAACAACAAGACGTCTCTTCTGAAAAACTTAGGTCAGACAGTTTTTGTCAACAGTAAAGCTAAACAGAAGTAAATGCAACATGTTTTTATATTATGATTGGTTCAAATATGACAATGACTTGACTCTTTTTGTCACGTTGCGCTGATAAAAAAAGGTCGATTTACACAATACAATACAATAGGAAAAGCGTACCAGTTTTATGATTGGCCAAGTGTATGTTGTATGTAATTACTCAGACAAACCAATAATAAGGTGACTTCCGATTTTTTGAAGAATTTATAATACAGTAGACTCGCGATATAGTGAACATGCTGTATAGTGAACTACTCTAAATAGTGAACAGGCAATTTTTTGTTAATGCATTCTGTACAGTGAACAAAGTGGTTCTCGAAATAATGAACCCAACACGTCGATACAGGAAAACGATTTTAAACGTTTTGTTTACTTTTCTGTAATCGGATCACAGCAGTTTCTTGCGAATTGTGATTGCATCAGGTCGTTTCGCGAGTGAAATATGGCAAAAAATAGAAAACATTTAAGCCTAAATGATAAAGCCAAAATATTAGAAGACTTAAAGAAAGGTGTCGGAGTGACTGTTTTATCCAAAGAATATGGTGTTGCTAAATCAACTATATGCGCTATTCGAAACAGAAGGGTTAACATTTTGAAAAGGGTCAACAATACTTTTAGCGGACCAGGAAAAATGAAAACCTTAAGACACTCAGAGTGTCCACGAATGGAAAAGGCTCTGTATAGGTGGTTTCTCAAACAAAGAGAGAAGAATCTTCCCGTGACCGGTTTAATGATCCAAGAGAAGGCTAAGCTGCTCCACAATGATTACAAAGAATCTCCTTCTTTCCATGCAAGCAGCGGCTGGTTGCAAAAATATAAACGGCGATTTGGAATACGTTACTTAAAGATTTCAGGCGAAAAATTATCATCACAGCCTGAGCTTGTTGAGCCTTTCAAAAGAAATCTAGAAGCAAAAATTAAAGATCTTCAACTGTCGAAAGATCAGATTTACAACGCCGACGAAACTGGCCTATATTGGAAGCTTCTTCCTGGAAAAACATATGTAGCTCGCGAGGAGAAAACAGCTCCAGGACGAAAAACCGAAAAACAAAGAGTGACCTTTCTAGCATGCACAAACGCGGCAGGTACGCACAAATTAAAACCACTAGTGATTGGAAAGTCCAAAAATCCTCGATCATTTCGAAATTTCAACATACCTGTTCATTATCGAAATTCCAAAGCTGCTTGGATGACAGCAACAATTTTTGGAGAATGGTTTCACAAGATGTTTATTCCAGAGGTAAGTTTCGCCATTCGCAATAGGAAAACATTTTAAATTCTACCATTTTTACGAACAAAACGACATCATCTGTGTAATTTCGAATCCTATAAATTTGTTTTTGACGCGATTACATATTTCCCTTTCTTGCTGTTCCTGCTTGTGATTTAAGGTTTTGTTTTAACTTGTTTCAGGTGACAAAGTTCCTACGTAGACAAAATCTGCCAGTTAAAGCCGTCCTTTTGTTAGACAACGCATCAAGTCATCCACCCCCTGAAGAACTAAGAAGTGATGATGGTTCCATTTTTACTCTTTACATGCCACCTAACGTTACTCCATTGATACAACCGATGGACCAAAATGCGATTCGTTTAACAAAACTTTTTTATCGCAAAAATTTGTTGTCGCAGATTATTGGTACCGATCAGGATATAGGAGAAACTCTGAAATCTCTTTCTTTAAAAGACGCTGTTGTACATTTGGCCCTAGCATGGGAAAATTTAAAGCCTGAAGTCATAGAAAAATGTTGGCACAATCTACTTTCGCCGTTAGCCAACGAAGATGATGATGATGAGGATGAAATTCCTTTAAGTGTTCTACGAACTCAAATAATGAATGGGGAAATCAATAGAGTAAGATCAGAAATTGTCGATTTACTGCAAGCTGTCAATCCCGAAGTGAACATTCGCACCATGGATGTAGACGACTGGAATAACGATATTTTGCCGGATAAAGAAAATAAAGACCACAGCGAAAGCGATGAAAATGGTCAAGATCAAGAACGGGACGAAGTTCAGGTAATGAGAGAACGTGTGACAACTGAAATTGCGATGAAGTCAATTAACAACGTAATTCAATGGGCTGAAGAAAATGAAGTAGAATACTCCAGTTTACTCGTTTTACAAAACTTAAGAAATGAAATGGTCCAAAAAGGGTTCATGAAACCAAAAACACAAACAAAAATTACATCGTTTTTCGATAAAAAAAAAGAATAAACCACCTTTTAATTAGTACATTATACTTATAACGTTTTTTTCATTGATAATAAAGTTGGTTTTGTAATAACAGCCGTTGTTTTAGTAAATTTTAGAAATATTCCATATAGTGAACAAATCGATCTAGTGAACTGGCTTTGCATTAATTAGTTCACTATATCGAGAGTCTACTGTAATATTATTTTATATGTTTATTTTTTCAGAATCAATTGAATTGTGTAAGAAAAATTAAAAATATCAGAAAACCCCTAGAATTTCCCTATATCCCTAGACAATTTTTTTTTCCAAATTTATCCCTAGAACTAGGGACAAATCCCTAGAGTTGGCATCACTGAGTAAAATCAGTCGTTTCTGCGATTAAATTAATTTGAGGCACCAAATGTACGCGTATTTGCTAGACTGCGTTGCCAAGTTGTCTTTTGTATAACAAATTAAATGCCTGTGTTTTATATAGGTACTTATTATACATATACTTACCATAGAATAGGAATATTATTATAATTAAAAACAATAGTACATTATATACCTAGGTAGAGAAGTTGGTCATTATATACCGAGCGCTTTTATAAACCGAGACGCGTAGCGCCGAGGTTTATAATGCGTAAGGTATATAATGACTTTCTCTACCGTGGAATATATAGAATTTTTTTTACTACTGCTATAGTAGAAAATAAAAAATAAGTTTGAAATCTGAGCTCAAATTATTTTTT